CTCACAGCAACCTCAACCTCCTGGGCTCAAGCAATCCTCCTGCCTCAGCCTACCTAGTAGCCGGGACTACTGGCATGTGCCACCATGCCCGGCTAATTCTTCTTTCTATATTTATTAATGGGCCAATTAATTTCTTTCTAGTTATACTAGAGATGGGGTCTTGCTCTTACTCTGGCTGGTTTGAACTCCTGACCTCAAACAATCCTCCCACCTCGGCTTCCCAGAAAGCCTGGATTACAAGTGTGCTGGGCTTGAGAGAAATTTTATCTCTACCTCCCTAATTATCTCTTGCATTCTGTCTATAGCAGATATAGATAGATAGATAGATAGATAGATAGATAGATAGATAGATAGATAGATAGATAGAGAAATTTTTTTTTTTTTTTGAGACAGAGTCTCACTTTTGGTGTCCAGACTAGAGTGCTATGGCATCAGCTCAGCTCACAGCAACCTCAAACTCGAGGGCTCGGGTGATCCTTGTTTCTCAGTCTCCGGAGTAGCTGGGACTACAGGCATGCGCCATCATACCCGGCTAATTTTTCTTTCTATATATATTACTTGAGCAATTAATTTCTTTCTATTTATAGTAGAGATGGGGTCTTGCTCTTGCTGGGGCTGGTTTGAACTCCTGACCTCGAGCAATCCTCCCGCCTCGGCCTCCCAGAGAGCTAGGATTACAGGTGTGCTGGGCCTGAGAGAAATTTTTATCTCTTCCACCCTGCTTATCTCTTTTTTTTTTTTGAGACAGAGTCTCGCTTTGTTGTCCAGGCTAGAGTGAGTGCCGTGGCGTCAGCCTAGCTCACAGCAACCTCAAACTCCTGGGCTGAGCGATCCTTCTGCCTCAGCTCCCGAGTAGCTGGAACTACAGGCATGTGCCACCATGCCCGGCTAATTTTTCTTTATATATATATATTACTTGGCCAATTAATTTCTTTCTATTTATAGTAGAGAGGGGTCTTGCTCTTGCTCAGGCTGGTTTGAACTCCTGACCTTGAGCAATCCCCCGCCTCCGCCTCCCAGAGCTAGGATTACAGGCGTGGCCACCGCGCGCCGGCGAAACAACTTATTGTGAAGAGAAAAGGGAATTGACATAGTCAGAGCCACAAATGATCCAGATATTAAAATTATCACATGGGACTTTCAAATAAATATGAATTATATTCCAAGTTATATAACAGAAATAGAAAATGACACAAAGAAGGAATAGGGAATTTTAGAAGATAAATAGAAACTAGAAAGGATTCAAATGCAAATGGTAAAAATAAAAATGTACACACACAGTATCAGAAAATAAATGCTGTGGTTGGTTTATTAGCAGATGGACACAGTACAGGAAAAAAAATCAAGCCCGGTTAACAGAAATTATTCCAATTATTAATAAAACACAAAATAAAAATGAATGAAAAACAGAACAGAGCATCCAGTAGCTGAGTAATAATGTCAAACTGTCGAGCATATGTGTCATTGGTGTCCTCAAAGGAAAACATGACAGAAGAAATATTCCAGAAAATAATGACCAAAATTTCCAAATGAATGAAATTTATAAGTCTAACACAGAGAGCACCTATTAAGATTCAGACACACACACACAAATATGCAGAAATACACACATACACACCCACAATACATCATAGTGAAATTGCTAAAACCAAAAGTAAAGTGTGAACATTGAAGGCATCCAGAGTAAAAAGACTCATTATATACAGGAGAATTTAGATAAGGATGACAACAAACTTCTCAAAAATATCCAATCTGGAAGACAATGGATTGACATCTTTAAAATACTGAAGTTAAAAAGAAATCCATATAAAATTCTATATGCAGTGGAGATTTATTTCAATAATGAAGACAAATCAAAATTTTTCAAGAAAATAATATGCATTAAATAAGATGTTAAAACAAGTTCTTAAGACCAAATAAGTATAAATACCAAATCAAAACATAAAACTATACAAATGAATGAAAGTGCTGTAATGATAAAAAACAAGTATAAAAGTGTGGTTTTTTTCTAAATAAATGATTAAATGAATAAATAAATAAATAAATAAATAAAATAAAATAATAAAAGAAAAATAAAAGGACTTGCCAGAAAAAGCCGGGAGGGAGAGATAAAAATTCTCTCTCTCTCTCTCTCTCTCTTCGTATATATATATATATATATAAATCTGCTATACACAGAATAAAAGAGATAAGGAGGGGGAGAGATAAAAATTTCTCTCAGTCCCAGCACAGCTGTAATCCTAGCTCTCTGGGACGCCAAGGCGAGAGGATTGCTCGAGGTCAGGAGTTCAAACCAGCCCGAGCAAGAGCAAGACCCCATCTCTACTATAAATAGAAAGAAATTTACTGGCCAAGTAATATATATACAAAGAAAAATTAGCCGGGCATGGTGGCGCATGCCTGTAGTCCCAGCTACTTGGGAGGATGAGACAGAAGTATCACTTGAGCACTAAAGTTTGAGGTGGTTGTGAGCTAAGCTGACGCCATAGCACTCCACCGGTGCATCAAAAGTGAGACTCTTGGCCGGGCGCTGTGGCTCACGCCTGTAATCCTAGCTCCTTGGGAGGCCGAGGCGGCGGATTGCTCAAGGTCAGGAGTTCAAAACCAGCCTGAGCAACAAATGAGCGAGACCCCGTCTCTTACTATAAAAATAGAAAGAAAATAATTGGCCAACTGATATATATAAAAAAAAACTAGGCCGGGCATGGTGGCGCATGCTGTAGGCCCAGCTACTCGGAGGCTGAGGCAGGAAGGATCACTCAAGACCCAGGAGTTGAGGTGCTGTGAGCTAGGCTGACGCCACGTCATGCACGCTAGCCGGGAGCGAACAAGAGCGGAGGACGTCTGTCTCAAAAAAAAAATAAATAAATTAAGAAAAAGGAACTTGCCAGAAAAGCT